GGGAGGCATCTGATGAAGTGAGATCTGGTTGGAATAAAATTTGTTTAAGTCTTTAAGGTGCCATTAGACTCCTGTTTTACACTTTGGATATATTGTCTGAAATGGTCTTTTATGTTTATTGCTATTAATTTTTTAATTGAGTTGGAAGTTACCTCACAGCGGCATGGCTGAGAATGCGTGGTATTACCTGTTTAGATAAATAACAAATAATCATGCAAAGGGGTTGTTAATCCCAGATCTTTAAATAGTATTGAGGTCTGCTTCAGCAGAACCATTTCTAAATGTTCCTGTCTCCAACTGATACCTTCATTAAAAATATTAAAAAGTGGTTTAAAACAGAAATGGTAATTATTTTGAAAAAACCAAGAACAAAAATGTCACGCTTTCAGGAACAGGCCATTTTCCCGCCAGAGGGCACACTAGTTTCTGAGAGAGAACAACAGACAGGGGAAAGCAGAGGACTGCCCACTATGTCAAACATTCTGCAAGTTTTCAATCCATCAGCATCTCATTGTGTGGAATACTCACTGTTGACAAGAAGACAGTGAAAAGGGCAAGTTCTATGACAGGGTGTTACAGAAAAGCTAATAAGACTTTGTCCAATGGCTGTTTCACACATGCCATTTTCACCCGTTCCTCACTCCCACTGCAGACACCCACATCATACCCAGCCTTGTTCCTGGGGTCTCCTCCATTTGACAGGGAGAAGCGGCAACAGGAGGAGGATGGGGAGACGGGGAAGTTCCTTTCCCTGACCTCATAGTTGGTCAGATATAACCCATTCAGAATAAAGGGGTCAGTATCACAGTGCCTTACACAACACCTTATGGTGGAACCACATTTCAACTGTGTTCTGTTCGGACAGCCCTGTTTCAACAACTACACAAGAAACTGTAGTAAATAAAAAGTATCAGCGAATGGTGAATCATTTTGGGATTTTTACCGGGGGGGGGGGGGATAATCTCACCTGCCCATTATGTGGGAGATCTGAAAGTGATTCTCCAAATGCGCTTTGCAACTTATGTGATGTTATGTGAAGTGTGTACACAATTCTGATTAAGACATTGCTTTGTGGGAAAGGCTGATTTAACCTTTTCACTCTGCAATTCTCCTGGTAAAAACTGGGCTCACCAAGCTGCTGTTAGCTCTGGTAGGGCAAAAAAACAGTACCCTACAGGTGCCTCACTATTTTTCCCTCCTGGCAATAGTAACAGCCAAAAGCATGGGAAATTTCTTCTGGAAAAATTGTGACAGGTGAGGGTTAAATCTCCCTCCCCAGTATAATGGTGGTCAAATCACCTCATCCCTGGTTTCCTTTTTAAGGTTAAAAAAAATGCTGGACGATTCTGTCACAAATTTGCTGTATAACATGTAGTTCAGCCATGGGGGAAGGGGGGAAGTTGGATGATTAGAAGATTATGAACCATATAGAGAAAGCGTCTAGAAGAAATTTTCTCTCCCCCTCACATAATAATAGGCTTACTCAATGGAACTTATTGGCAGCATATAGGACACAAAAGAAATGTATTTATTCAACAAAGTCAGCACCGGCTTAAATAACTTTAAAGGCAGTTAAACAAGCTTATGGAGTACTAGGAGCAAATCCCGTTGTGGAGGAAGACAACGGATCCTAGCACGGCACGACGGAGGCGCCCCTAGTCTCCCGATCTCTCCCCCCGCACGACCCCCCGGAATTGGGGGGCGAGGGAGTGGCTGGGTGACCTCCAGCAGCCTCGGGGCCGGCACTGCGTTGGCCCCTGCCCAGTGAGAGGCCAGCCAGCTGCATGTAGTTGGCAGCGGCAGTAGGATCGGGTGCGGCCAGAGGCGGCCCCCACGTGCTGGAGTGGGCGGTGCGGCCGTTGTCCGGGCACAGGGCAGCTGGGAGCCTGTAGCTGGGCTCAGGTGAGGTCGGCGGCAGAATCGGGGCGAGTTCCCGCCCCCCCCCACTGGAGCAGCCGGGCCACCTATCGTCAGATCGCACGGAGGCCAGGTGGCAACACACGTTCAGGCGAGGGTGGTGGTGGCATGCTCTAGCCACGCCCCCCCCCCGGTGGCACGCGTGGCTATGGGCGCTCGGGAGACAATGGACACAGCGGTTGTTTGGGTGGCAGGGTGAGACTCCGCCATGGTGTCTTCGGATTGTGGGGCATGTTCACCCCGGCACTGCATCTGTGGGCGGGCGTCAGAGACTGCGGCCAGTGGCCAGCGTCCCTGGTGTGAGTGGCGGCCATCTCAGCCTATGGCTGAGGAAGTGCATCCGTGGTCACCCCAAATTAGCTTTATAATATAGAGAGATTAGAAATGGTTGCTGAAAGAAACCTCCATGGTCAGAGGCAGTATATCACTCAGTAGTAGGTGTTAAGGCCCAATGAGAAGGGAAGGCTATTGTGACCTGTTTATGAGCTTCCTAGACATATTTGGCTGATGGAAACCGAATGCTAGACTAGATGGACTCTTGGTCTGATCCAGAAAGGCTCTTTTTATGTTCTTATGATCATACAACTTTGTTCTGATATGTCCAAGATGAATTAATAGTATTTAATAACCATTTTTTGGTCTGAGACACAAGACTATAATAAAAAAATCATGGAACATGACACCTAGGTGCTTTCCTCACACAGAGGGGCTTGCATTCATGGTCTTTGTGTGTTGATCTGTTATCAAAGTGAATTCATACAGTCCATTCCTAAGCATGTTTGTCCGGAAGCAGGTTCCACTGGGATCAATAGGACTTACTCCCAGTTAATTTAATTGGTATGTTTATGTCCCAGTGTTGCTCCAAGGAGTTCAAGATGGCACACACAGCATTCCCAAACAGTCTCCAGGCACCAGTTAGTCCCAGACTCGCTTAGTTTCAGCAGATTGCTGCATAAGGTCTTTTGGACAACTTGGGGTTTTTATCTGGAGCTCAAAAATCTTTTTTTTTTTTTTTTTGGCCGCTGACAATGAATTCTGCCAAACTCAATAGTTCTGCATGTTGCCACAGGAGGAGAATTCTATTCAGTGCCTATTTCTGCATGCTTTGTTATTTCAGCCTGCCTTTCCTTCTTTATCTCAGGCCATTTCTCTCCCCCCCCCCCACCTTCTGCTTGCATTCCTTCACTCCTGTTCAGTGCTTAATCACCAAAATGAGAAGGCTCAAAACTGACAAGAGACTGTGTGTGCTGTGAAGGTTGGGAATGGGGGGAGGGGGTTTCCTCAGATCAGCAGGCTTACTTTGTGCCGGGGCTTAGTCTTGTTTCGATATTTGAATTAAATCCTAGAATATATGAGAGAATGGTCCCTGCCACATGGCATGAAAAAAACTGGGCAAAGTGTGGCTTTTAAAAGCCGCACCAAAATAGAGACGCCGCGGCGGGATCCCACGGATCCCCTGAGGAAGCGACAGTCGGGAGGGGGAGGCTGCCGAACTGCGCATGTCTGAGCATGCGCAGTTTGGCCAGGAGCCGGGGATGCGCCGGCGGAAGGACGCGCTGGCGATCCCACGGCCGGCCTTGATGCACCCTTTCCCGAAGAACCACCTAGGTAGGTGGTTTATTTTTGATGCGGGGTTTTGGGTGGAAGGGCCGGATCGGGAACGGGTGCACCACGCTTCCCAGATTTTGCTGTGGAATCGCGCCTGTTTGCTGCGCCCCCGATCCGTCCCTCTCCCGGCCCAAAACCTCTTGTGTGACCGGGGCCAATGAAGACTTTCCAGGGTTATGATTTGCATCTACCAGAATTGAAAAAAAATGGGCATTGCTCCTTTCAGACAAAATGGCAACCTTCTGTATCAGAGGGACCACAAAGAGCACATTCTTCTCATATGGTCTGCTAAAATGTAATGACTGAAAAGGCCTCCACCCAGCCTAAACTACCTCACAACATTGTTGTGAGGATAAAATAGAAGACGAGAGAATGTGTAAGCTGCTTTGACCTCACTTGAAGGAAGCTTTGAAGAAAAATAAACAGCAGATGGACTAATGATCTCACTCTGGCCAAAGCATGTTCCAAAGCTCGTATTTACCTCCAAGGTGTTTGGTGTTACTATTACCTCACACATTCTAGTACTCAGTTGCATGACTGAAAAGGGTACCAAGCCTCCATATAACCTAAGCAGCTATTTTTGGGCAGGAACTCACAGGAATGGAGTTCCGGCTGGCTTCCGAGTTGGCCACGCCCACTACAGCCAAAACCTCTGCACATGCATGGCTACAGAGTTTGAAAGGCTACAGAGAAAAGGCCTGGAGAGCGACCCCCCCCGCCAGCGACTCTGAGGCGGGCAACCCAGGGGGGCTCCTGGAAGGATCAGGGAGACCTTTAAATGCCTCCCCGAGCCTTCCCCGGTCCTTCCGAGGACCGGCTAGCCTGGGCTCCCCGCAGCTGCGGGGCACCCGGGCAAGCCAAGGGAAGGCAGTTTAAAGTGCCTTCCCTTCCCTTCAAGGGGGGGGGGGCTTGCCCAGGCAAGCCAAAGGAAGGCATGGGTGTGGCCTAATATGCTAATGAGATGTGCTGTCAGGGTGTAGCCTAATATGCTAAAGAGTTTCTGCTGTTGGGTGTGGCCTATTATGCTAATGAGTTCCTGGTGGGCTTTTTCTACAAAAAAAGCCCTGGCCTAAGCTTACTTTTTTTCTTAATTCATCCTCCATTTGCTCATTTTGTCCTTTTCTGCCCATCCGCCTGCCCTTTTCTTTTCCCACTATATATCTGCACGATATGGTTTATAAGCCTGCACTGTGGACCAACACTCCCTCTAAGCTGTGGAGTCTTGTGAGCAAAAACTCTACTTTGTGAGCTACTGGCATTAAAGTTGTGAGCGAGCAATTTGGCTACTACATAAATCAGTTTGCTCTGGAGCCATCCTTCCTGAGCTAAGACAAAAATGTATGAAGCAAAGGCTAAAAAACTGTGAGCTAGCTCACATTAGCTCAGCTTAGAGGGAACACTGCTGTGGACTCCACCTGCATACTCAGCATCCCTCTTCTCCCTCTCCCCCATCGGTGACTCTTGGTCTTTCTCACCTGGATCAAAGTGTTCTTCCAACTCCGATGCACCAAGAGAAGCCAAGAACAGCAAGCAAAGCACTGTGGGTCCCATAATGCTCTCTGGGCTCACTGGTTACACCAGCAGTTGAGTCTTCATGCCTTTCAAACAGAAGAAAACAGCAGTTAAACCACATGTGGGTCCCTTGCGCATTGCTGAAAAAGCCTTCCCCTGGCTGACTCAACATGAACAGGCAGTCCTGGCCCTCTTCCGCCTGGGGTCAGGCACTTTCCCTTGGTCCCCAAGCTATTAAATAATTCACATTCCACACACCAGAGTCAAGAGTATCCTGCTATTGTCCTTATTTCCCTACCAGGGCCAAAAAAGAATATAATTGACATACTGGCCGCCAGTGACACATAATCACAAGGGAAGGCCATGAGCCAAGCCTGTGGTTAAGGCGCATGCTGTGGTGTAGGAGATGCCCAGCTGGATTTTACAAAGCAAGTCCTTTGGCCAAAACGAAAAGCACGGGGAAAATTATCTGCTTTCTTTCTATTGCGCCTGAAGAAGTGAGCTCTCACTCACGAAAGCTCAGGTTCAAACAAGTGTTAGGTGAGAGACTGCACTTCTGTTTCGTTTTTAAAAAAACACAGCAAATATCGACCTATGGTGCACAAACATTGTTTATAAAGAAATCATTTATTAGACTGGAAACAAAAAAAAGAAATGCTTATGCTAATGATCCTCACGATCACCCAGTGCCCAATTCTGCAAATCCTGAACACGGCTACACCCCTCAAATCCCAATGAACACACATGGAAACAAACTGGGATGGGGTGGACCTTACAACCTGCACAATAAATTTAAAAAGGCAAAAAGAATAAGGGGGCAAAAATCTACATAAACTTGGCTTTGTTCTGGAAACAGAAACTAATTAAGTCTTATAATAAATAACAATATCTTGAAATAATATGTAAAAATAATATGTAAAAAGACTCCTCATACTAATAGTAAAACACAAGGCCAAACTTGTTTCAACATACTGTCTTCAGCAAGGATCCAAAACACAATTCAGCTTTGGCGGGGAGGGTGGGTATAAATTGAATGAATGAATAAATAAATAAATAAATATCCCTATGTCTAAAAACTCTCTTTGGGGTTCTTACAGCTTTAATAGATTCTTTATATAAATTCTGTAATTTTTTACGTGGAGACAGACTTTTCATAGTCTTCTTTACGCGTGAGAACTGTGTGAGAGACATTTGAAGTTACTCAATATTTTATTCTGACTGGTGTTTTAATGCTGGGTTTTAATTGTATTTTATGTTCTTATTCTGTTTTATGTTGTAAGCTGCCTCAGGCAGGTTTATTATTTACATTTAATTACTTCATTTATACTCCACTGTTGTCCCCAATGGGGGACCCAAAGCAGCTTAACATCTACTCCATTTTATCCTCACAAAACGTGGGTTAGTCTGAGAGAGTGTGACTGGCCCAAGGTCCACCCAGCAAGCTTCCATGGTACAGTGGAGAGTTGGCCATGCCCAGCAGGAACTCATTAGCATAACAGGCCACACCCAACAGCAGAAACTCATTAGGATTGGCTACATTAGGGGTGTGTGGCTGAACATGCAAAGGAGTTCCTGCTACAAAAAAAGCCCTGGGACCACAAACAAGGTCAACAGAATAAGCCAAAGGTGACCACACTTCTGGTAACGTGGGTGTGTGGCCTAATATGCTAATGCGTTCCTGCTGGGCTTTTTCTACAAAAAAAAGCCCTGGTGGAGATAATTTGATCTTGGTTATCCCAGATCTGATACTCTAACCATTATACCACACTGTCTCTCGCCAGGTTTTCTGGAGAGGCAGTTTGGTGTAGTGGTTAGGAGCGTGACCTCTAATCTGGGAGAACCGGGTTTGATCCCCCACTCCTCCACATGCAGCTGCTGGTGTGACCTTGGGTCAGTTACACGTTCTTTCAGAGCTGTTCTCTCACAAGCAGTTCTCAAGAGAGCTCTCTCAGCCCTCTACCTCACAGGGTGTGTGTTGTGGGGAGGGGAAGGGGAAGGAGATTGTAAGCTGCTCTGAGACTCCTTCGGGTAGTGAAGGGCAGGGTATAAATCCAACCTCTTCTTCTAAATCAACCAGTCTTCAGCTCACCTGAAAAAATATTGTTTGTGGACTGGAAGCAAGCTAAGGAGTTGTGGCCTCTCTCCTGCCTTTTCACGCACCTTCCGTCCAAAGGAAAAAGACATTGTTTCTGATGTTAGTTTGAAAGGAAAGTACTGCTTTGTGCTATGGGCATATTGGCAAACTATCGTTAGGGCTGAAAGAGAACTTGAAAGGGGAGCCAAGTGCCAGTGTAGACAAGAGAGCATGAAAGCCAATTCACTTCCCATGCGCAGTGTGGAAGATTGTCTGAAATGAGCCAGTTGTTTCATGTTCATCACTTGCACACAGGCACATCTGAACCCTGGCTGCTCTCTTTTTCGCAATTTGCTAGCATTATCCCAAAACACACAGCTTACAAAGCGTCAAACTAAGACGTCTGGAAATCCACAATCAGATCCTGTGCAGTTTTCGTAAAAGTTCGAAAGAGTTTGGGCACAGTGGGAGAATCAACTTGAATCTGGAAGCAGTGCTTGGGTTGGGGGGGATTCCACACTTCCCCTAAGTAGCATTTTCCTGATCAAACCACCCCCCCCCCCCCCCCCCCCCCGCCCAGCCATGCATCTATTCACCTGGAGAAGGAAAAAATAAACATGAGTACTTGTATGATTTTCCCCAGGCAGCCCCAGAAAGGAGGGAGTGGACTTTAGATCAGGAAAACTGCAAGAGAAAAAGCTAAAATATCCCATTACTAGTAGCATTTCCTTAACTCATCGCCTGCTTGGACCATTACAAACGCAGGAGAATCAATCATCATGCATTCTCCCACATAATCTCATCGAAATTTGGCCTGACAAGGTTTGCAGTTCCTGAGTGACTTGGGTTGCCTCATAAGACACTGGGCAGGGCCCCATCTCCTGTTGCCTAGCTACCAATGTCACACACACCCCTTCAACGTTCTCTGGCCACTGGGATGTATGGGGGGGGGGGAAGCGTGTGTGGGTGTGAATGGGGCTGAGGGCCAGCTGCTCCCATAATCCTTTGCTGGAATGTCCCTTCCAACAGCTGCCTTGATCTAAGGCTGGTAAACAGCAGCTGACGGGGCACAGTGGGGAAGGGGGGGTGCCAACATGGAGAGGATGAATCAAGGCATTGATCGGACACCCCCCTTTGTATCGAGGGGGATAAATCCTGTATCGAATGCAGACCAAAAAAAATCTCAAACGGAGATATGCGTCTCAAGAGTTGGAATGACTGCCACATGTCAATAGTTGAAAACGTTCCTATGTTGGGGGGTGGGCTTGTGTGACTATGGCTCAAAAGAGGACTGAGGTGCTGTACTGTGGGGCTGCTACACACAGAATCTGAAGAGATATAGACTGAGTAAAGAAAGGGACCAAGGGGATATGCCTTCTTGGAAGCAGTACTCTGATAACGTCAGCCCTCCTACCTAATCCCAGCAGAGTGAGGAAATGCACTCTTCACATGCTCAGAGATGCTCCCCTCGATATCATTACCATGCCCTGTGGCTCAAGGGTGCCAGTTTGAGCAGGTGGGGAGTAAACAACCCCCCTCCATGATTCACACACTATGTGACTATTTCTCAACAGGACCTTTGTGTCCGATTATTGTGATGTATTGAAAAGAAACAAATGTCCTTAAAAACACCAGAGTAAAATTGCACACACTCAAAAAGCAGGCACCCCCTAGAAAACCACTGTAAATCTCCAACCATCCATTCCTAAAACCTTCCTGTCGTCCTTCCTGAAGCCTAAAACAATGCCCCAGGAGGACCCTAACATTAAAAACATATTCTGAGGCTAAACTCTGGCTCACATTAAGCCTGGTCAGGATTAAAACACATCCACCGTAGTTATGAATGGATGTCACTGTCACGTAATAATGATGTGGGGTGGCAGGGGGGCGGGGGAGAGAACGATTTGTCTGTCCCCCTTTCTCAGTTTGTCGGCAGCTGAAGGTGTCCTCATTTTGCCCAGCTAGTTTTTAACCCCCTGCATCCCAGGGATCTCCCACTGCATCCTCCCAGTTCTTGGAGAAACGACAAAAGGCACTGAAGGGGACAAGGAAGGCGAGGAATCCCAGCTATGCCGCAAGAATGCGAGGCAGCTGGGATCCCAGTGCCAGCCCAGCTTAACTGGCCTGCTGTGGAAAGCTGCAAAGCCCAGAGGATGCCCCCACACAGTCCTGACTGCCTGCCAGCAATAAATTAACCATTAGATTAAACATACCACAGGGCAGAATGCGATCCCCGAATCCCGGCTGCATAAGCAGAAACAAAGGACAAGACCCTCAAGTTTGTCTCTGAGGAGTTTTGGTAGGTCTTGCAGTAGTCATCAGAGTATATGATCCAGCTAAGAGTATATGATCCAACTAAGATTACCAGACACCCCCTTGGGTGGGGATAAGGTCGCTAGAATCAAGTTGAGAAACTCTTGGAGATTTGGGGATGGAGAGAATAGGGACTTCGATGGGGTATAATGCCACAGAGTCCACCCTCCAAAGCATTCATTTTCACCCGGGGAATTGATATCTGTAGTCTGAGATTCCAGGGGATCCCCAGGTCCTTCCATGGTGAGTGGGAATTCCCCCGATTTGAGACACTCCTGTCTGCCCCCCCCATTACCCCCACAGGGAGGGAAGAAACCAGAAATAAACGTGATGTGCCTACGTCACACAGAAGTGATGTAGCACGTTGGTGACGCTGGGGGGGGGGAGGCCGATGCTCTCTTTTTTGAGCAAAACGCTATGATCAGAAGTTAATTGTACCATAGAGTTTTACGTTGGTGACACTGGGGGCGACACTCTCTTTTTTGAGCTAAACTCTATGATTAGAAGTTAGTTCTACCATAGAGTTTTGCCTACAAACCAGAGTGTTGCCCCTGACATGCCTACGTCAAACAGAAGTGACACGGGCATGTTACACTTCTTCCCTCCCACTCTTGGAGCCTCCCGGTCATTCCTTCACTGGCTTGTCCAACTGACCTGGCAACCCTACCCTGGTCCCACCTGGAGGCTGGCATCCTTAGA